TCTCTTACCGGTATTTACTATTTAGGCAAATTGTTGCTTTGAATTACTCAGTGTTGTCAATAGGACACCACTCTGGTGCTGCAGCATGTGCCCCTTTCAACTACAGTCATGCTGCCATTGTGTGTGTGTGGGTGTATGTGTGCGCGCACGCGTGTGTGCGTGTGCGCGCGTGTGTGTGCGTGTGCGCGCGCGTGTGTGTATGTGTGTGTGTGTGTGTGTGTGTGCGTGTGTGCACGTGATCTTCACTACACCGAGACAGGGTCACTCAGCCAAGTATTGTAACATCAGTGCGCGCAGTGTGCAGAATACCACTGTCTTGAGGTGAGTGCCTTGCCACCTACCTCGATTTCCCCTACTGTTCTTGGCATATGTAGATGTGCGTAGGTTTCGTCGTGTTTGAATACAAACGCGTATGTGCATGTGAATGATTACTTTGCTGTATTTTGTGAGCTCTTGTTTACAGTACGATGTCTTCACCACTGCACCTCATTCCTTTGTTTGATCTTGCGTCATTCTTGATCGCTTGCTTTTTCCTCTTTTTAATGCTGTCTCCAATTATTGGCTGTTGTTGTTTCCAATTGCTGGATGTTGTTTGCCTTCTTTTTCCCACCCTTCAGGCTACCTGCCAAGGCATTTGAGATAGTTTTCTCGAAGTACCCTGATTCACTTGTGCGAGTCGTTCAGGTAGGGTTGAATTGCATGCTCTTGTCAACTCTAGACACTATGGATTGACCATTGTAGAGATTTACTTATACGCCTCATGATCATATTATTTCATGTTACAGCTGTACTACGGTTTCAAACTTGGAGATACTAGTACTGCTATGGTGTTTTGTGACCTTTCCTAACTTTCCCTCATTGAACCTGGACAGTTTGGTTACTCTGCATAGGATTTTGTACAGACGGGTAGTCCAAAGTTGTAGAATTACACAGAGTGGGTCCTAGTTGTAAAGTGTCTTCTAGTAGTGCTAGGGTGTAAACAAGTGGTGTTTTTTTCTGCAGTGGTTATAACTTTTTAATAAGTTTATATTTATTTTTAAGAATATTGGTCTTAGCGCTATAGCATGAAAAAGAGTTGGTGGACAAGCCGTTGATTATTCACTCTCATTGTAATATCAAAAAGTATTCTTTCTAGACCAAAGAGTGGTATATTTGATAACATTTAATAACGATAGAATTTTTTTTTTTTTTACGATACTTCTCCAGACGTTTCGTTGTTCTGAACAACATCGTCAGTGGATAAAGAAAGCTATAGCATGCACAAGTTGTAATGCGTGCTGAGGCTACGTTGTAGGCAGACCGGGTGTAATATCCTACCCTGTTGTTCTTGTATTGCTATTCTCCTAGATCATCATGGTTCGGCTGCAACGGGTTGCTTTCCTGTCGCTCAGCAGCTTTTTCGGCCTTGGAGCTGAGCTCATCAAGGTCAACGTAAGTGAACTGTGTAGCCAATGTGTATGTCGTGCGTGTGTGTGTGTGTGGGGAGGGGGGTGCATGTGCCATGTGTGCGTGTGTGTGTGTCCAGTGCATTTGCAGATTTGCGTGCTTCTCTCGCGATGGGCGTATACATGGCATATGGTGTGTGCGTGCGCTCGCGTTCAGTCATGTGCGTATATGTGTGCAGGTTCTATGGATTGGCTGGACAGTGTACACTGCTGTGTTTGAGTTTGTACTAAGACCGCAGTAGCGGTGACATGAAGCCATATCTTGCCAGGCCTTACTCTTTCTGTACTTGACATTGCAATCTGACTGTTGGTGCTTGCAGCCTAATCTGAGGGCCCATTCTGATCTGAAGATCTACACTCTGGATGTGAATAAAGGTAAGAGAAGTATGTTTGCTGTTTTCTGTTTGCAGTTGCCAAACACATGACTACTATACTACTGTCGCTCGCCGAAGAACTGGGGCTCAGCCTCGTGGCCTAGACCGTTCTTATCTTCATGCATTACAGTCTATGCACAGCTGAGGCACCGTGTATACATTGGTATGCTGTGCTTGATGACATTTTAGCCTTTTAGTCTTCGGCGCTCCGTTCTTCGGCGCTCCGTTCTTCGGTGCTCCGTTCTTCGGCGCCCGACAGTACTGTAGTACCATCATTTACAGAGTATCCAATGCTGGGTTGGCCAGTGACCGTGGTGTGTTGAGTGGGGTGTTGGGTCAGGTCTTCCTCCCGCCATGGACACAGTGTTCCTCTATATTGCAATGTACGTGTGTATACATTGCAATTTGCTCTTCATGAAAGCATTCAAACTCAACTACTGGCAGCTTATAAGAGGAGAAAGAAAGTGAGATAAAGGCAGACAGACAGACAGCCACACACACACGCACGCACGCACACACACACACACACACACACACACACACACACACAATGCAGCAGTGGATAGGCGGACCACGCAACGGGGGTAAGACTTAGACAGGCAGACAGACAAAGGGAGGGAGGGAGTTAGTAGCAATACTGACTGATGACTTGCTGATTTTTGTTCTCAATCTTCTCAGAACCGTCGTCCACTGCAGAGTCAGCATCAGAAGAGCCTAGACCAGGTGATTTCTCCTTCATGTCCAATGCACCCACATCTGATCCAATTCCAGTTGTGCAGAAGCCGTGCCGTTATTGTCTGCGTCTTGGGTAAGTATCCCATGTGTGTGTGTGTGTGTGTGTGTGTGTGTGTGTGTGTGTGTGTGTGTGTGTGTACGTGTGTGCGTGAATGCGCACATGTGTGTGCGTGGGTGCGTGTGCGTGCGTGCATGCGTGGGTGAGAGAGAGAGAGAGAGCAATGTAGAGTAGAGGTAGAGTAGAGGTAGACAAGCAACTGCACACTCCAGAATCTAGACCTTTTTCAATTCTTCATTCCCTATTTATCTGCTGCAAATGCTAAGGCCTATCTGATCTTGTCTCCAATGCAAATTGCCACATTATCTGTAGTCTTTAGTTGTGCAAATTCTCTTTCCGAGTCATTGACACTTTACCTGTCATGCATGGGACTATTGTTAGTGTTGTTGTTGTATAACCACTCTTACATGTATTTTACTTTGGTGTGTCTCTGTCATGTTGTTCTGTGTAGGTGTAGTGGTAATTGCAGTCACTTTGAGGAGCCTGCCACCGGCACGGATGCTCAGCTTCTCTCCGATCACTCATCACCTCATTCACCTCCATCGAAGCCTTCACCGGTCACGGCAACTACCTCTCCAGTGGATGTGTCATCGGCTGACTTCAAGGTGGCGTGTGCCAAAGCAGGTACGTATATGTGTGTGTGTGTGTGTGTGTGTGTGTGTGTGTATGTGTGTGTGTGTGTGTTTCTGTATGTGTGCGTGTGTGTGTGTGGGTGGGTGGGCGTGCGCGCGTGTACATTTGTGTGGTGAGGGGTGGGGGCTGTGATTGCTTCCAACACATCTTTTCTAGGAATGTTCCTGAAGGCTATGCTGGCACTATCAATATACTGCTGGTGGCCTGGCTATTATGTAGCTTTTTTGTAGACCTTTCCTTTCCTTCTCCGGCCTGATCAATAGCGATGTGCCTTTGCCGATGTGCGTACATTTTGCAGGTTTGTTGTGCCTTGCATGCTATCATAGCGAGATACTCCGTGGGTGCACGTGTGTGCGTGCATGTGTGTGTGTGTGGGGGGGGGGGGGGGGGTGTGCGTGGGTGTGTGTGGGTGTGTTTCGGCATCCTTTCTTCATATTAGCATTCACATTTCACTATACAGTATACTGCATTGTCTCTGTCCTGCTCCAACAGGTCTGGAGCGACCGCAGTTCTTTCTCGGTTCTTCGGACGATGAGGAGGGCCCGGCACTGTACAACATGTCACAGCGTTTCGCTCTGCAAGAGCTGGCGAGCGGTGCTGCTGCTGCTGGTGCCTCTGCTGGTTCTGCTGCTAGTGGTGGTGGTGGTGACGGCGGTAGCTTATCCAATGATGAGTATGAGGCACTGGATGACGAGGATGTGGGCGCACACGACATTCCTAACTCTCAGCTGATGGAGTACGGCTCTGAGGACATGGCCTCCCTGTTCGGACTACAGGTATGGTGGCATCAAGATTAGATATTGTGTACACATCTGCATGCTGTGATGCCAGGAAAGAGTCGCATCTCAGCCTTTAGTTTTCTCCCCTGTTCTTTAGTTTGTGCATGCTGGATCTACAATATAGTTTTTCTTGCCTCATCCTGCTTGGACAGTTGTTCTCTTCTTGTTACAAACTGCATAGTTAATAACCTAAGGGGCATCCATAAATATTGACCTTTGTTTCTTCTTCACAAAACGAAAATAATTTCGCTGTGGGGTGGGAGGTGGTTGACCAATTTCGTTTCAGAAAACATTGACAAATGTACATGGCCGTAGGAACAGTGACACACTTGCGACTTTTGTTGTACTATAAGTTGACGAATGTTCGGCCTACCGTAAAGTCTTGTATGAAAGCCGCGGCTTCTATGACTTTCTTGGTGAAATTTTGCAGGCTTCTATATGAGACAGGTATTTCTATGTATGTCAACACTAAAACCAGGCTTTTGTGTGATTTGATGGGCCCAAAATTGTGGCTTCTATTTGAGGGCGGCTTCTATTCAAGTGCGGCTTTTATACAAGACTTTACGGTATTCAAATTTCGGCCTCCCAGGACTAAAACACATTTCGGCCTGTACCTCCGCCGCCTGTATACACTGTCACACTGAACCTTGCAAAACAAAATTTCGGCTGCAACACATTTTCGGCCAAATATGATCAGGCCGAAAATAGCCGAAAATTAATATGCGGCGAATATTTGTTGACCTACAGTATGTATGTCAACATATGTTACGTTCTGAGGGGGAGGGAGGGAGGGAGGGAGGGGTTGGGTCTAAACTAAAATAATTTGTTTGGTGAAAAAAGTTCGACCTAAGTCAATGGCAACATGTTCGAGAGAAACCCAAAATTTTCTATATGCGTGTATGCGCGTGTACGCGTGCGTGTGTGTGTGTGTGTGTGTGTGTGTGTGTGTGTGTGTGTGTGTTCATGCATGCTCTTG